ACAATATTGTACGAACCAGCAATAAAACTCATCAACGAGATGAGCTAGCATGGGCGATTCTTGTCTTGCTACTTTGTCAATGGAGAATCATCACCCCTCCACGCTCCTTTCAATGGACTCAAGTGCATCTTCTCACGAGGAACTCGATTTGGAGATGAATCGCCAAATCATACTCTCTCGTCCGCCGGATATCAATCTTCCCCTCTCCGCCGAGCGCAGCCCGCCTCCGCAGCCATGGAATCCGGAGCCTTGTGATATTCTTGACGTTGGTCTTGGTACTCAAGGGTACGAGACTGAGAGTTTTCTCAATCTGCCCAAAGCTGGTAGGAAGTGTGCGAAGCGTGTTGATAGCATATGGGGTGCTTGGTTTTTCTTCAGTTTTTACTTTAAGCCTGCTTTGAATGACAAGTCTAAGGCCAAGATTGTCAGGGACAGCAACGGTGTTTCAGGGTTTGATAAATCTGATCTGAAGCTTGATTCTGCAAAATCTTAAAAGTCATGAAAATCCTGCAAAGTCTTTTAAAATCCGCAGGATTTTTTTTAACTAAAAAAGTCATTCAAAATCCTAATCCAATACACCCCTCTAAGTTAATTGGAATCAATTTACCATTAGATAGCAACTAAGTAATCATTACCTCTCATGCTATAAATAGGTTTCATATGCAATAAAATTGAGGACACAAGTTGCGAAAAGAGAAAAAGAGAGAAGGAAGAAAAAAGAGAAGGAAGAGAAGAGAGATAAAGAGAAAGAGAGCGAAGTGAGCAGAAAGAGAATAGTAAAATTTTTACACAACTAACTCTTGATAAGTCTACATTCTAATGTAAGGGGGAGAAGAACTTGATCTCTTTAAAATTTTATATACTATTATGTTTATTTATTTATGTTATATTTTATGTATATTTATTTAGTGAGGTGTCCCTACCCTCATTTATTTGCTTAACCTATGATTATTTTTACTCATAATAATTATTAAGGTGTTCATATCTTATGTTGTTTAATTATCTTATAATGATTGTCATTTTTATTTATATGACTACTATTTTTAATATATTCTTTTTACGTAAATATTATTTTATATGATTGATACTCTTAATATATTATTGTTACGTAAATATATTTATTGTAAATATATTTTATAATCAACTATAATATAGTTTCAATATCTTTGACTCGTATTGTTGTTATTTCTTCATGTATTTATGAAGATAAATATTATTCTATGGCCATAGAAGATAAAGTTTGAATTATTTGTAGCTGGAGGTTTGACCTTTGGGATTTAAATGAATAAGGACTTATGGTGAAATATCCTGGTTGATATTTGGTTGATATTATGATAATGTTCATTTATCCTGACTAGTCACTATTAAAATAATTCAAATTTTATTATAACAATAAAAAAATTAATTTTTATGTTGATTATAGACAATCTTGTTCTTTATTTAATTAATTGTATTTATTTGATAATTGTTCTCACTCCTTATTTTTTTGTGTAAAATTAAATATATCATAAAATAGATGGATCTACCGGCCATTCCAGGTCGTTTTACAGTAGTTATCATTGTCGTTTTTCCTGGGGGTAATTGGAGTGTAGACGCTGTCTCCAACTCAGTCACGTTCCAAGGCATAGGACTGTCTTCGTTCGTTTTCTTTCCTAATCAAGAAAATTCCACTATTATAGATGGACCCATTATAGTGACTTTCTTTTTACCACCAGCAAATCATGCAAATCCTATTGTAAACTTATTTCCACCACTAATGTAAATACTATCGTAGTAGTAGTAGAAAAATAATAGTATGTAAGGCATGTACTCTAAATAATAGTAGAATAATATGTAATGTAAATATTGGAAATAATAATGTAAGATACAAGTAGTTAATAATTACGTATATTATTGCAAATATTTTAAGGTCATTATAAGTTAATTATGTGTATGTGAGTTTGAAAATTTTATTTTATTACATATAATATTAGTAATAACTTACTTGTGTTCTTAATCTATAAATATATATAAATTATATGTAAATATATATACGTATAAAATTGGGATTAATATTTATACTATTAGACGTTACAAGAGAAGAGTTTACACAGAGTAGGAAAACTTATGGAGCAAGTTAGGCTAACTGATGGCAACTCCTAATGAAGAAGATTGATGATCTTCACTTCTTTAGTTGCACGACCTTTGATCACTTCCTTGAGGTGTTGAAGTTGAGATTCAAGCATGGATGGGAAGATGAAGATGAGAAGAGAAGGAGAACTGGAAGCACCTAAGCAATAGGAGCAAAGGATTGCTCACAAGTTAGGCTAGTTCCTAGAAGAGATCTAAGAACAATTCGACCAAAGTGACTTTGAGGGAGAGAGTTGCTGAATAGAAATTTTAGAATTCTCATATATGATTCAAAGTGTTTTTACAAGAAAGGAATAAGCAATATATAGGCATGGATTTGATGAGAAAAGGTGCCAACCAAGAGAAGCCAAAGTTGGTGCCAAGTTTGAATTCAAATTTTGAAATTTGAATTCAAATTGGACGTCCAAGCTTTGGTGCCCCATGTGGCCGGTTCCCATCTAGAAGCATAATTACATTTTGATGTAATTTGGAGTTCATTTGGAGTTTCACATCTGCAGCCACCCTTGGCACAACACATGTGACTCAAATGCAACTCTAATTACACTTAAATGTAATTAAGTTTCTATGATCCAAGCCTATTATGTAATCCTTTCAAATTCCTATTCTAATGGCCTAAATACAATGGCCAAGCAAATACAATGGGAAGGAAAAATTACAAGAATGAAAATGAGCCCAATATTAGGTATCAAAAGCCCAACGGCCCATGAAGTCCAAAACTAGGTCCAATGAGCCTAAAGCCCAAAAAGTTCTATACTAAGGTCCATAATACAAGACCAAACACTCAACATGCAATAAAGGTGGTCAATCATGTAAAGCCCAAGTGAAGAGAACCCTAAGCCCACCAAGCCCATTGAGCCCACTAAGCTCTAAAACAGTCAAATCTTCAAGTAGTCGCCTTGCCATAGCTCTAGTGGTTAGACCTTTGGTCCATGCTTTCCATCACTAACTATGGTTCAAGAGAACCATGGTTGGCTTAACTTGGCTGTCCACCATGTTTTGGGAGGCTTGTGGAGCAAGCTTCTAACTTAGTAGCTTGGGAAGCAAGCTAAGTTAGAAGCTTGTAGCACAAGCTTCCCAAGTGTGCCATGCAAGCTAACAAATTCGACCAAGGAAGGAGTCTAGGCGGCCTTGGGTTAGTTTCTCATATTTAATCCAATCCAAGAAATTTGAATTGGTTTAGTTAGGTTCACCAAATGATGGTGAGACCTAGCTAAATCAATTCCTTAGAAAATATGGAACAAAACAAGCTAAATATGTAAAATTTGGCCTAGGGCCAATTTTGGCCCAATTACTAGTTGCACCTACACACCTTGCTAATTGTCACCCTACTTCTACTACTGAAAACGTAAAAATGAATGACCCTTAATACAAGGTCAAATGGAGCAAAAGTCTTAAAGTAGCCTACCCTAAATTCTTAAAAGAATGTCATATATCAAAGGAAAGAAAGTGTCTCTCAAATACAAAGGCAAAATGTACCTATACAATAACTACTACGTGCAAATGATAGGAAAATGTCCTTAAATTTAAACCATTCCTCTAGGGTCCTTCAATGTATCACCTCTTGGTCTTCTTGGCATTGGCATGATTCCACCATTAACCTATACCTAAGTTGTATTATCCCTATTGATTGTACTAGATCTTCCTGGTTTAAGTGACGACATCTGAGTCACCATTTATGAGTTGTTTATGACTATTGAGCCTACCTGAGTTTAGTAATGTCAACAAGGCGGGACAGGTATAGGTAGTAGCCCCCCATTGGATAAATATTTGCCTCATACATATCTTCAAATTCGTACAAGTATTCAATAATTGGGTATCCACGTATTTTTTTCTAAATTTTCGCGAGTACTTGTGAATATTTATTTTCACAAAAAAATAAAAAATATTTTAATAATAAATTATATTTATTTTAATAATTTATTTAAAAGTAATAGTTAAAAAGTCAAAACTTAAATTATTTAAATATTATACATAATTTTATTAATCAAGATTCTTCAATTTTAAAACTTAATTTAATTGTTAAAGTACTTTATTCTCATGATTTTTTAAAATTAACATATAATTATATAATTGAATATTAGTAAGTACTTGCTTGTACATATACTACGATAGTCGTACCCGCCATGTTAACATGTGGATAAAAAAAAAACTATACCTGTTATTTGTGAATACCCATTTATAATATCCATTTTCTACTCGTAATGGATTTTATCTATGGATATTCATGGGTACAATTTTTTTTTACATCCCTACCTAGGTTGTTATATGGCCAAGAGAATAAAGGTCTTCTACATTGTAGGTTTAGTAAGGTCAAACTATTTAAATTGTTCAATTGTGTAGTAGAAAATCTCTTAAGTTGAAAAATGCATGATGACACATAATATTGTATTATTTTGAGTTATTTAGTTGGGTATATATAATGACATGTATGCTTTTGTTGAAATAGTATTGCTGAATTGTTTCATTGCATTATTGAGTTATACTCTGGAGATTTTGCATTGTATATTATGTTGCTTTAATTGTTGAGTTGCTTGTGGTGTTGATGATGAGTTATGAAAGTTGGTTTTAAGTTAATATTGTTAGCTTGTAATTTTCTATTATATGTAGCTTAATTTTTCATATGTTGGACCACGATGATCTTATTTGGTATGAAAGTTGATTAGAATTAGGCAAAATGACAAGCTTGGATTTGGGTAGCCATGTGGAGATGGCCTTTTAGTGGAGTCATGGTGGTGCAACTCATGTTTTAGAGTGCTTGATCGACACCTATAACTTTTTGTTTTCAATTCTAGTAGAAATGTATATATAAATACTTATTGTGTGTATTGTGTGTGTATGTATTCAAGAATAGTTGTAACTCCGTAACTCCATAAGTGACTTTTTATTTTTTAGATTATGGACAAATGTTGCTTTATTTTTTTTGCACCTAAACTATACACAATGTTGCAATAATATTCATGAACTTTTTGCATGAGAATCTTGGATTAAATGACCTTATGTTTTTTCATTGTGATACCTGTTGTCGTAGTTGTAGTAGTGTGGTGACCCATCGAGTCGTTACATGTCATTGTATGCACTAGTGTTCATCCTTCATCATATTGTGCTTCAAACTCGTACGACATAGTATCGCACTATGCACCTCAATTATGTGTGATTTGCACTTATGTGCCTCCGTTGCTATAAGCGATCTACACTCACTTATGTTTACCACAACATGCAATCTACACTTGCTTGCCACTTTTGCCAAACCTATGAAACAAAAAACAAACCCAAAGAAAAGGATAAGACCATAAAATTGTCTCCTACGATAATGCACCATAGGCAACAATGTTTTGACATGGTGGTTAAAACGAAGACAATATGAGATGTTAAGATATAATGTGGATGGTACCACTTAATATTTTACATCTTAAATTAATCTAAGTGACAAAATTAGGAATGTATGGTGGGCCACCTATAAAGGAGGTCTATCTTAGCCTCCATCCTCAAAAATATGTTTTCATTTACACCAATAAGTTATAAATAATCTCAAAATAATAATTTTTTTTTGGAGCAAAATTGAGGGTTGTTACTAACAATTTTTTCTAATATGCTTCTACATTTGTTATCTCAACTATTTTTTTTTAAATATAGACTATACATCTTTCACAAGAGACAATTTTATCGAGTTGATAAAAAAAACATCTTTTTCCATGTATTATTTGGAAATTAATATTAAAATTACTCATCTCTTCGATAAGATAACTTAAAAGAGATTTGTGAAGAGAGATTGAATTAGAGTTAATTTATCTTAAAAAAACTTGTATTTAGTGGAGTACATTTAAAGAAAATTGTGAAGAATAATAGGTGAATTTTACAATGATGAAAAGGTTCACTTAAATTATGAATAAAATAAAAAAAAAATCTTTAAAACAACTACGAATTGATATGAAAAAATAAATAAAAAAAGTGAGAACAAAAAAAAAATCAATAATCATTATGATCGTGTTTTAAAATAATAATTTTTATATTTTCAAAATGAAGTCATTTTTAAAAGTATTTTCACAAAAAAATATTTTCCAAAATTAAAACTAAACCTATTATCAAATTTATTTATTTTTTAAACAGAAACAGAAAATGGTGAAATCAAACCTAAAATAAATAAATAAATCCGAAAACTAAAAATACATTTACCCATTAGAAATTTGAAAGCACCAATCATTCCAGAAAGTACGATCACTCAGGTTTTGCGCGGGAATAACGGTGATAACTCATAACACTACCCCAGTGGCTGTGTAACGCAGAGATAGCACGCCTTCAATGGCAGACTCCACTCCGATTGCAACTCCTTCTAAAAACGACGCATCATGCTCTTTCCAACGAACGGTTACTTTCGCTTCCTTCATTCTCATTTCTCACCGCTTTCTTCCTTTTCCCCTTTTCTCCAATTTTCAATTCTAATGCTGTTCTTTCGTCTCCGAAGGTCGTATTATACGATTGGTGGTTGATTAAAGCCAAAACCGACTTCCAAGGGAAGCGTTTAGCCGTCGCAGGCGTTTCGTCGAGAAAGTAAGCCCAAGACTCTTCCCTCCCTTCTTCTTAGGGTTTTCACGCATCTGTCGTTTCACCTTAAACGCGAGTGCTTTAGTTTATTATCTATGTCGTATTTTATTTGCCTGGAACAGAGTTGCATTTGATGGAATAGGGATGATGAAATTGTGTGATTGCCGTGACGATTTAGTTTTGTGATTCAGGAATGAGGCAGTGCGCGTGTTTGTTTCTGCTGCTGTTATCAAGAGATATGACGTGTTTTCTCTCGAGACTGCCGATGGGAAGTGCGTCATGATCAAAGGTTTCATCAACGAGCAGCGCACTCTCGAAAATGGTTTCGCTCCAGAGGTTTGTTAGTTGTAACATTTCATGTTTGGATAAATTTCCCGATGAATAATTGAGAAGAAAACAAGAAGGTAAAATGGGTTGAACTTCTCTCATAAACTAATATCAATTCATGCGTTTCAGCTTTTGCAAAAGCTAAATGATAGTGCTTCCATGATATGTTTAGAAAAACTTCTCCATAAACACAATTAGGAGAAGAAATAAGAGAAAAGTGAAATATATTTTCTTAAAGCTAAAATTAGCTCATGCGTATACTAGTTTATAGAAGCTCTTAGGTTGTTCAACTTACGTTTTATAACTTATGTATTAGATAATTTTAGTTTATAGAAAAAATTATTTTTATTTTTCTTATTCTATTTTCATAAAAGTGTTTATGGAGAAGTTAATCCAAATAGGTCTTATAAAAGTTAAGTGTTTAAGTTGATTTTAATTTATGGGAGAAGTTCAATCCATTTTCCCTTTTTTTTTCTTGCTATAATTATTTATGGATAAGTTTATCCAAACAAGACCTTTCACTTTTCCCTTTCTACTTGATTAGCCTTATTTTAAAGTTTTGGTGTATCATATGGTGTGTATCATGGTCATGCAAGTGTCAATGTTTATGGTTATGGGTATTGCTAGATGTTGTTTATGGTTGTAACTGATAAGTCTCCCTTGTTTTATGATGATAGTTAGTTTGTATGTTATGTCAATTTCATTTTTTATTTAATCTCTTTTTTGCTTTGTTTTTTCTTCATTGCTAGGTTTTCAACCGTTTTTTATTTGGCTTTCCTTCAAACTGGGAAAGCTATGCTCTAGATTGCTTCATAGAAAAGTCTACCATTCTCAATGATTTAAGTCCAGAAATTTTATCGGATGGTAAATATTCAAACGATCTTGTAAATGATTTGCATATATGTTTATTCATGTCTTGTACTTGTTTGATTTTTACCATTTCTTATCTATCTAGTTTCTCTAGAGATATTTTAATTGCTATTTCAGGTGTGGAAAATTCCATTCCTATTTCTTTGGTATCACCAGAGGAGGCCCCGGGAGATCACGATAAACCATTACCTGAAAATGACAGCAATGTGTCAAAGGAGATGGGCGGGTTTAATGTTGCTTGTAGTAGTGGTGGGAAAAGACGTAGTGCTAGGTTGCATGATATTAAAGTATGCCAACAGAAGAAGCAGCACGCTTCTGGAGGTCTTCCATATCATCCAGATAATGAGGAGAACTCTACTTCAGTGACTGTAGAGGGTCTGAAAAGTCTGGCAACCCCCATTCAGTCACAATCGTGGAGTGAATATTCAAACAATGCCTGTAAATGATTTGCATTTATGGTTATTCATGTCTTTTACTTGTTTGATGTTTTATCATTTCTTATCTATCTAGTTTCTATATGTATATTATAATTGCTATTGCAGGTGTGCAAAGTTCTATTCCTACTTTGGTAACTTCAAAGGAGGTCCCGGGACATCTCAAGAAGCCATTCCCTGAAAAAGAATGCAATGCGTCAAAGGAGATTAATAGGGTTAATGTTGCTTGCAGTAGTGGTGGTAAAACGTGTAGTGCCAGGTTGCATGATATTAAAGTGTGCCGGCAGAAGAAGCAGCCTGCTTCTGGAGGTCTTCTGAATCATCCAGATGATGAAGAGAACTCTACTTCAGTGACCTTAGAGAGTCTGAAAAGTACAGCAGCACCCATTCAGTCACAATCGTGGAGTGAATATTCAACCGATGCTTGTAAATGATTTGCATTTTTTTTTATTCATGTATTGTGTTTATTTGATGTTTCATCATTTTCTATTATCTAGTTTCTATTTCTATATAGATATTTTAATTGCTATTGCAGGTGTTGAAAAATCCATTCCTACTTTGGTATCTCCAGAGGAGGCCCCGGGACATCACAGGAAGCCATTTCCTGAAAATGAATGCATTTTGTCAAAGGAGATTGGTGGGGCTAATGTTGCTTGCAGTAGTGGTGGTAAAAGACGTAGTGCCAGGTTGCACGATATTAAAGTTTTCCGGCAGAAGAAGCAGCCTGCTTCTGGAGTTCCTCCTAAGCATCCAGATAATGAAAACTCTACTCCAGTGGTCTTGGAGAATTGTGATGTAGCGGGACCGAGTCCAGCAACTCCCATTCAGTCACAATCCTGGAGACAACTAAGCACATCATCTGAGCAGCTAGTTAAAAAATCTGCATCCAGAATTTCTAAAACCTTGTTTCCAATGTCTGAAAGCTGTTGTAAGAAAAAGAGAGTGATCGTTGAAACAAAATCGGTTAGGCCTATGAGAAAACAGACTAAGTCTGCATCTGCTGTGAAAAATTCGCGAGAAAAAGATCTAAGCCACGTGATCAGGGGAAGCCGACAGAAAATATCCACAGTTTCTCCAGAGTCGTTTAGTTTTAGTAAATCCAGATCTGGTAAAATTAATTTTTTTTATATGCATAAAGTACTGCATCTTTTACTTCAGACTATAATCTTTATGCTTGCGTTATGTTGCAGGTAGGTTGCTTCTACCTCCCTTGGAGTTTTGGCGCAATCAAATACCAATTTATAATGCGGTATGTGATATCATTGTGTGATGGTGCAGCTTTTTATTGGCTGCCATTAGTAGACATCCTGCACACCTAATCATGTCTCGTGTACACGCAGAACATGACCAAATGCATATCTAGGATTTGTTTTCTTAATGAGATGGGTAGATGAAGGTTGAAAATTTACTACCTATTATCTCATAATCGTTTCTTTTTGAATGCTACTGCTATCCAGGCCCATGAAATTACAGAAATTCAGGACGTTGCATCTACGATATCACCTTGTAGAGGTTCTTCACCATCATTGAGCAGGTACATTTTTCGTTGTTAAGAAACATATTTCAATTGAATTAAATTATGACCTTACGTGAGTAGACAAATTTACCTCAGATTAAAATATCTATGCACACTTGATGGATTTTCTGGAAAATTTAGTATTCAACTTGATTTCGTTGATCAGTTAGGTAGAAAAAATACAGAAGTTCTAGCTGGTGAATAGGTGTTCTTCATTCCCAGCTTGGATGAAATTCTCTCAAATGTAGGACTATTCAGTCCTTTGGTGGAGTACATATCAAGCCACTCTCAAGTTTCTCCTTGATAAAATGGCCATCCATTTTGATGTGTTTGGTTCGATTATATTGAATTGGGTATTCAAAGGCTATTTCCATTTTTTTTTCCTAAAAAAATGAAAATAGAACAAATTAGATACAATAAAAAAAAGAGGGGTAAAATTAAGGGGTTGTTTGGTTTAAGAAAATGTTTTCTATTTTCATTTTCTCTTCTCATTTTCTGAAAATAATTTTCATTTTCCAATTTTAAAAATTAGAAAATATGTTTGATTTGATTTCTCATTTTCTAATTTTAAACATGAAAACATTAAAAATGTGTTTGGTTTAACTATTTTTAATAATAAATTTATAATATATATATATATATATATATATATTCTCATATTAAAATTATTATATTATTTATTTAAATAAATAAATATAACTAGCATCACAAAAAAAAAATATAATGACTACCACTTGTTTTAAATAATGCAAATCATAAGTCTTTTCATGATTTAATATAACTTTTTCACATACGATTGAAATATACATATTATTAAAATCTGAACAATTTATTTAACTTTAATTATACCTTCTTTTACTTTAAAACATATAAGGAAGTTGCTTCTAAGGGCAACCCCAATCCCCTTAATTTGAATTATGATTTATAATTCGCTCCTCGTAGTTAATAAATAATAAATCGAAGATTGAGGATTTGATTTTTTTTAATCTAGGATTTGATGGATTTGTAAATTTGTATTATCTTGGAAATCAATTCGAAGAAAGAGCCACTATGATGGACCAGGACCACGAAACCGCAAGCATTGCTCAAAACCATTTTAAGAAAAAATTGAAATTAATTGTCACTATAATTACATGATACGCCACACCGTTTTCATTGCATAGTTTTTATTTTCTTTGAAAACATCGAAAATAATAATTTCTTATTTTCTGTTCCAAGTTTTATTTTGAAAATATTTTCAGAATTTTTTTTTTTTAAAACAACCTAAACATATTTTCACCATAAATTTTTATTTTCATTGAAAATGGAAATAGAAAACAGACACACCAAACAACCCCTAAAATAGATTTTTTTTCTTTCTATTTTCTTCTATATTAATTCAAGATTAAATAAATTGAAACAACAAAGTTCTTATTCTTTGTTTTTGTTTTAATATATTTTTTAATTGAAATAAAATTCTACTAAATATTTTCATTAAATTTGTTTATTCAATTCATGAGGTGATTAATAACTAATAAGTCTGAAGATTTGAAATCACTACTAGATGGGTATATGTCACAATGATGAATATATACTAATCAATGTTATTCCCTTCGAAAATATGTAGCCCTAGTTTTGATTCTCCAAAAGGGCAAGTAAATATAACACTAGTACGTAATCGGTAGGGAGCAGGGACGTAGGGTATGTCAAGGAGGGAGGTTTCTTCCTCCTCCATTTACGTATTGACAAAGCTATTTTTCTATCTCTTGGTCTGCTTGTTTTAGGCATGACAATCTAACCCGCACCGTGGGTATCCGCCCGAACCCGCCCCGATTTAGATGGGAAAAACCCGTGTTTATCGGGTTCGGGTTTGGGTTTTCCCCGATTGATAAAATCGGGGGCGGGGGCGGGTATGGGTACCCACCC